GACTTGGCATTAATTCACAAACTTAAAAGGCTATTCTGCTTTTTTGTGGTTGGCACCCTAGAATATGTCAGCCTCTTAGCTGCTTTTGCCCCCATCTTCCCTGATCAGCATACAGCTAAAACATAATGTGCTTACCGTGTTTCACTTGCTTTAATGTAGATGCAACCTGATAGCTGAAGACAGACTCACAAAGAAATCTTTCCGAGCCATCTGTAAATAGAAGAAAGGAGGTGGTTTCATCTGTTCTGAGAGCTCTGTGATGGAGCAGCCCTAACCAAGCACTGTGGCCAATATTGTTATATTTGAGCTGTGGGTTTGCCCATCTGTCTAGTTTCAGTGCTTTCTCTTGCAGTAAGTGTGCAGCGCTTTGGTTTCTAGGCCTTGCAGTCAAATTCTACCACAGGTTTCAGCTGGGGCTGGCAGGCAGGCAGGTGGCTGTGCTACCTGGGAGCCATCGCTTCTGAGCACGGATCGCTCGCTGGCTGGGAAGCAGCCACTGCTACAGCAGTGTCAGCAGGTCTGGTCCACCCAGCCCACGCTTCCTTCCTGGGGAGCTTCCTGGGGTGTGAGGGGCAAGGGAAGGGGGGTGGGGGGGGGGCGAGGCTGCCCCATTAAGTCTTGTGCAGCCAAGCAGAGAGCAGGAAGCAGCTCTGCTCCCTTGGAACTGCTGCCACAAGGAGCTCCACTCACAGGCATGAGGACGGCATGCAGCTGTGTGAGATATACAAGAGCAGAGGCGGACAGCCCCACATGGAGCTCGCTACAGCCCAGCTGCTCCCATTCATGTGAAGCAGCACAGGCATGCTGCTCGTGCACCAACTTTGGGAGCCCTGTGGCTTGAGGCCACGACTGCAGCCGCTGGGCTCCAGCAGCTGCCGCATGCATGCAGCAATGACACTTGCAGCCAGAGAGGACATGTGAGAGAAAACTCAAAGCTCTCCCTTCGTTTTTATGTTTAACACTAAAAAGCCAGCAACTGAAGCTGTATGTGCCAGCAGCTTAACCACCTAGACATGAAGTGCACTGACACCTCCTTGCTTGAATAAAACCATACTGGGTTTGGAAGAGAAAGGAGAATGGCCAGGAATGGCCATTCAGGATGGATTTCCATCAAGCTGGTGAACCCCCTCTGCCCCAAACAGCTGCTTGGAAGGGACCTGTGTTGGCTCACAGTAAGGCTGTGACCCTTCTGCAGGCTGCTGAAACCCAGCACCTGTCCTCATGACCAGCAGCAGACCCGGCAAGCTGCACACACCTGATGGAAACTGCAAAGAGCTGCGTTACTTGAGCCCTCACCTCCCTCAGACATGTGGAGAATCACACTCTGCCATGGCATTTTGTTTCTAAGTCAGTTGAATGAATTCCAGAGTGCTGTCAGATTGACACAGGGGCTTTGCTCTTAGTAAGGCTGCAAATCCACAAATACTGTTACATTCCCTCCATCAAGTAATTTTAGTCTGTTTTTAAATAGAAGCTAAGCTAAGCAGAAGCTAGCAAATATTACGACAGCCTCTGATTCCCTCGAGACTCAGACACTTGTGTCCTTACAATGCTTTATGATTTCCCATGGGCATAGGCCATAACCCCGCACAAGGGATTTCAAATAACGTGCATCTTACAAGCTAAATCAGTTAACTGATCATGCAACATCTGAGGAGTAAAGCAGCCTGGTATACAGAGCTAATTGTGTGCCAAGGACTAATGTGGCGTATGCCACTTCCTTTTCCAAAAAGGACTGATTTAGCAACAAGCGAATTACAGTGCCAATAAAAATCAGTCAGTTAGCAGGGATTTTTGAGAAGGAAACAGGTACGCAGCTACCACGCTAGCAATTGCCTGAAAAAGGTATGAATGTTATCACCTGCTATCTCAGAATGAAGAAGCTAAAGTTTCCTGTGACAGGGAGAGTGTACAATTGCTGCTGCCACCCAAAATGGATTGGTCAGCCCAAAATAAAATCAAGTACATGCCGCTCACTGTTAAGATGAGGAAGAGAAGCAGCTCTAAGGCTGAGGGGACAAATGGAGCCCTGGCAACAGGCCTGGACAACTAACCAGAAGTTGAGTCCTGGGTGAGAAGGAAGAATTGAGCTGCACCACAATCGCAATATCCTCTCTTGCAAGCTCTCAAAATACTGTGTTAATGCTGCACCATTTTCAAACATAACCAGCGCTGCTCAAACGCTCTCATTACCTCTGTGGGAGACAACTGCCTTCCCTCTCCTCGGATTCCCCATTTGCCTCCAGCCCAGCCATCCAGCCTGAGCAGCTCTCAGGAAGAACAGTTGCCTATTTGCTAATGTGAAGTGCTTCATTATTTTAATTTGTTTTGAGGACTCATTAAGTTCTATGAACAACTCTTTAGTCATAATTACCTCAATAGACTGGCATACGGACTCTAATGTGTAATAAAAACAGCGATTACAACACAGAGCTCAGTTCCCAGCTGTCCTGCGCTGCCATGTCATGTCCATACCTAGGGAAACCCAGGCATGTCTGAGCCACAGGGCCAAGGCCAGCTAATATGGCCCTGTAGAACACCGTGGGGGGATTGTGCTCAGCCTCCAAAAGTCAGGAGAGAGGTCTAGTCCCTATTTGCTGCTGAATTTGTGCCATACAGCAGGAGGCATGCCTCCAGCTAGGTCAAGGGTCCTTATCATCCCTTTGTGCTGCTCACGCAGATCTCTGCAGCAAGGCCTCAGCTCGCGTTGAGAGCCAAAACAAGCCTTGCATTTCCTGGCTAGCAGGGACACAGGCTGCCTTCTGTACTAGCCCAGTCCAATCTAACCCCAGAACTTCTTTTGCCAAGAAAAATACTCCTGCCTCAGCTATCTTTACAGTAATTCCTGTCCGACTTCAAAGGATAAGCTAACAATGAGCAATTAATGCTGTCATGTTCCCTTTCAGGTGGATCACTTCCTTGTCTGAAGCACTGTCACGGACTTAAAACTGAGGTGACTGCAAGAAAAGTCACTTCCTCACAAGTGATGGTAGGCAGGGAGCCACCAGGCAGGCCATGGGAAAAGGCACTGCGACAGGGCCCAGCCCTGGAGCTTCCTTCCTTCCCCTGGCTTCTGCCAGCCCAAGTCTGAGCGGGCCCTGGGGTCCCATGCTTGTGGGGAAGGAGGAGGTGCAGAAGTCAGCCTGTGCAATCACCTTCCAGCATCTCCCCGGCTCCCTTGGGGTAGGTGAAGAGGGCCTTTCGGGGCGGTGCCAGGTCCGAGACACTGAAACCGGATCCTGTCACAGAGCTGCCACTGACTCCGCCAGCTGAAGAGGATGAAGAGGAGGCGGCCATTTCACCCCGTCCCAACCTGCAGCCACGGAAGGGAAGCAGAGCACAGTTAGGAAGGGCACCTCAGCGGCAAATTTTCCCACTTCTGGGCCAAGACGTCAGTGCTAACGGGTGCATATAGGACCGGGAGCCTCGTCCCAAACACCCACAGGGGCAGGAAGCCAGCCACAGGGTGCATGCCCCGGCCTGCGCACATCCGCTCTGGCTGCACCGCTGGAGTTCCCCAGCACATCGCAGCGGTGGGGCACGCAGCCAGGCACGCCTGTCACGGCTGACTCCAGAGCCGGCCGCTGAGAACGGCTGCGGCTTCGCACCCTGCTTAGCCGCAGGCAGCTGTCACACCCCACGGCAGCACCCCCGAACGGCGGGCAGCTCTCGGGCCGACCCTCGTAGCGAGGGGCCTGAGAACGTCGCGGGATTGCTGCAGCACATAAAAATAACCTGGTGCAGGTCGCTGACCCAGCTCCGCGGGCCGTCAGCTGCTTGGCTCTGCTCCCGCTCCCGAGAGCCATAAAAAGACTTCTTTATTTTGGCCTCATTTCCAGGAGCACAAACACAGAGAAAGCCCCACTCCCTCATACAAGCTGGAAGCTTGCAGGACTGCCAGTTCCCGCGCACATCCTGCGCGAAGCCGCACCGCGCCCCGGCTGCAGCAACAGCGCCCTGCCTTGCATCAGCGCCCGCCTCGCGTCAGCTGCCCTCACAGCGTGCCCTAGCCTCCTGCAGCGACAAACAACATCTGCCTGTTCAGCACAAGGCTGGCCGCTGCTCGCCTGGCTTCTTCTCAGTCCTTTTAGAGCGACTGTGTGTTGCTGCGTTGGTGGGAATGGGACGTTTAACACTTATCAGGTACCTCCCTCAACGCACAGAAGCCACTGCTGGGCTGTTCTAAGTGACGGCGCTTGCTGCTCCAGCACAGCGCTTAACGCTGCATCCCTCCCCGCTTCAGGTGTTTCTGTTCAGCACCTTTTGGCAGGCTCTTTTACGTGTCGTTGAATCATACAGTGCCCTATTACACCAGATATTTGGAAGAAATTCTTTACTGGGAGAGCGGTGAAACGCTGGAGCACTCAGCCCACCGAGGGGTGAACGACCCCCCCGGGGCGTTCACCGCCTGCCATTTTGTGTGTGGGACGGGGCTGCCCACCCGCGCGTGCGCCGCCCCGCCCCCTGCCCACACTCCCGCCCCGCATGCAGCGGCTTCCGCGGCGCCAGTGCGCTTGCGCCGCGCACTCCCTAGGCAGCACCCCCCCCCAGCCGCCGCGCATGCGCCACACCGCGGCCCCTCCCCGGCTTCCGTAGCGAGCCGCTTCCCGGTGAGTGCGGCTCTTGCCACCGACGCTCCGCTCCCTCCCGGTCGAGCGCCCTCCCTCTCGCCGCCCATCCCCTTTCCGCCTCCCTCTCGCTGCGAGGCTCGACTGCCCGCTCCGGGCCTCACCTGGGCGCCCGCACCGCTTGGCGCAGGCGGCGCGCGTGATCGCGCTCGCGGTGCATGCTGGGCCGGGAGGGCGGGCGGGCGCGCACTGCGCGCGGCCCCAGCCGACTTCCGGTGGGGGAAGAGGGCGGTAACCTTGGCAACGGCGCCGTCGTGGGGCGGGTTCGGGGGTCGGTGGTTCTGCGTGTGTGGAGCGAGGTTTGGGGGAATGGAAGCCATGTGGCGGCGAGCGCCGCGGCTCGGCACGCAGCGTGCACGGGAGCCTCGGGAGCGGGCTCCGTGCCTACCCTGTCAGTGCTGTGGTAGCGCTCCCACAAACGCTCCGACGCAGGGCGGCGTGCTGCCGGAGCTCTTGTTCGCTGGCGGGAATCTGTTCTAAAAGCGCCTGGGCAAGCGGAATTGTTGCACGTAACCGTTTCGGTGGCGCGTATAGGTTTGAGGTCTGGCCGACCGTACTGCTTGCCCTGCTGCTGCACGCCTGCGTGTGTTTTCCACAGCGAAAATCACTCCGCGTCTCTCTGGAGCACATCCAGGATTGCCTACGTTTGTCTCAAACTCGGTGTATTTTTTTCACGGGGAATCTTGTTTTTTGTATTTTCTGTGGAAATAAAAGCACCATGTAAGCTCTGAGAAACACGGGGGCCACACAGAGTGGTGCACTGAGGTGCACTGAGATGCAGAAATGCTGTACGGGGCTTACGTGGTTTTTAATGTTTTAATATCTTTAGGCTGAAGGGAACCTAGGTGCCTGATGTCCTGTAGCAGGGCAGCTGGAGGGGAAGCTCAGCTTTCCTCAGTAGAAATAATGAAGGGCCCACAGAAGGGCAACACAGCTGTGAGCTGGAGCCGGGTGTCTTATGGGAGTGGCTGAGGGAATTGGAATTGGGATGGGTCAGTCTGGGGAGCAGGGGAGACCTCATTGCTTTCTGCAGTTCCTGAAAGGAAGTGGTGGAGAGGTGGGGTTGGCCTCTGCTCCCAGGTAACGGTGAGAGGTGACAGCCAGGGGGAGTTGTGCCAGGTGAAGGTCAGAATGGGAGTTAGGACATGTTTCTTCTCAGAGTGGTGATGCATAGGCACAGGCTGCCTGGGGAGGTGGGGGGGTCGCCGTCCCTGGAGGTGTTGCAGAGCTGTAAAGATATGGTACTGAGGCACGTGGGCAGTGATCTGGTGATCGAACAAGATGACCTTAGGAGTCGTTTCCAACTGTAATGATTCTATGCAAAAGGATAATGTGAGATATGCTGGTGTGGTTGGGTCACGGCCCTTGCGGAGCTGCTGAATGCTGACAGGGTTTGAGGAGCTCAGAGGTACCTCTCAGGGCTCACCTGCCCTCACACAGCTGCGTGTATGTTTGCAGCTCACTGTCCTTGGAAGAGCAGTGTGATGGATGTCCTACGGCCCACCCTGGTCAGGATCGGTGGGCGAGTGTACAGGAAGAACGTCATTCACGAGCGGGTCCAACAGCAGGAGGAGGAGGACTTCTACACAGGTGTCGTGCCGCACGGGATCACTGCAGTGGCATGGGACAGAGCTGACACTTGGTGTTGCCTCTTGTGTCTGTGTGTATGAGGGCCTGTCTGTGTGGTGGAATGAGCTGTGAAAAGCAGGAAGAAAAACACTTTGTGTTGGGTGATCACTGTGACCAAAGAGTGGATGTAGCCATAATTACTCAGTATGAGTTTGTGTGTCTGTGTTGCTGGCTGTTGATCACTTTTGCTGGCTCTGAATGATCGCTAGTAAAGAAAAAAAAGCCACGCCTTGGCTCTGTAGATCTGTTTTTCATGGGTTCTGCTTCGCTTTTTGTTGTCTTTCTGCCTACGTGTTTGTTGTAGTTCTGTGTGAGTTGTAGACAGAAAAAAAGTCCCTTTGTTATCTTTCAGAGAGAATTGTGACCGTGGTGTTTCTCCTTTCCACCCTGCCCTTCAGTGTATCACACAAAGCAGTTATAAGCTGCCTGCTACCCGGATCCATCCCTGTATGTGAGAGGAAGCATAGAGAACCCCCTCAGCCTCTTTCTGGAAAGTGTATTTGATTTTAACAGGCACAAATCTCTGGACCTTTGAACTAAACTTCCTCACCTTCTATTTTTATTCTTCTGTGACTTGTAAATTTCTGCTCCAGTGTCTCCGTGTGTTGTTGGAGAGTGGTGCAAAACTTGGAGGAGGGCATTCCCACCAAGCTGTTGCACAAATTGCAGCCAGGATGAAGCCTGGGCTCTGAGAGTACAGGCTCTGCACCTCCCAAGCAGGGCAGACTTTGAAGCAGTCATTATGGTTTTTTTTGAAGCTGGTACAAGGTGAAATAAAAAGCAGTTAGTTGCAGCAGAAGGGAATATGTCTGTTGCTATCTTCAACCTCAGGGGAAGGCTGTGAGTCTGTTGTCCTACATAGCGCTGCTTTTCCTGGTAGGGCCCAGTGACTGTGCGGATGAACCATGCGATGCCTTTGTGGTGGAAGAGACTGAGAAAGGCTTCCAGTGCAGAGTGGAGGTTCCCAGCCCCTTATACAAGTGAGCCTATGGGGTTCTGGTTTCTGTGAATTGCCTTTGACTGGGGAAGCTTTTCTGTGCAGAATATATTTTGGCGGGGTTCAGGGTAAGCGCCAGATCTCTGTTTTGTGTCTGTCCTGCTTCTGGGAGAGGAAAATTGGCAATGCCTTTCTACTGCCACGCTTGACTCCTAGCCTTTGCTGTGGCAGAGACAGCAGGTGGTGCTTTCTGGCTGGTAGGAGAGTGTTTGAGCATCTCTTTCCTTGAACATGAAAGTGTCAGCGAGAGTGGGAAAAAAAGGAGGAAGAACTGGGGTGAGCAGCCTGCCAGGGGGATTTGTGAAAGCTTTGAGAGAAAGCACACGCACCTGGAACCGGCTGTTGACTCAGATCTGATGTTCACTGGGAAGCCTGCCACGTTCAAAGCTTTATCCAGTTAGTTTTTACAGTTTTATGGGTTAAATAGTTTTACTGAACTATAGAGAGGGAAAGGTATTTTGTTTTTTGGATGCTGGCAAATGACTATCTTGAACAACGCACCAACTAGGAAGTGTCATTAGCTCTTTGTCGGGGGTTATTGGGGGGGGGGGGAAAGTGATAACGTGGATGGTAATGCTGTGGCAGGATGTGCCTCAGCTGAAGCAAGTTGTAAGCCACTGCCTGTCATCCTGCGGCCACAGGCTGATAGCAGCCACAGGGCCTGCATCCTGAGCTGGTTGCATGTGTCCTCTGACACGGACACGTCGTGTGTCAGGGGAGCCACTGGGGCAGCTGGGCTGTGGTCCCTGGTGAGGAGTGGTCCAGCCATGCTGTGCTGTTCTTCTTTTATACCTCCAGGTACATAATAGGGAAGAAAGGAGAAACCAAGAAGAGACTAGAAACAGAGACTCGAACCTCAATCAGCATTCCCAAGCCTGGAGTGGAAGGAGAAATTGGTGAGTGTTCTTTCACTGGCTCTTCCATGGACGTGATTTGAGCAGGGAGGAGGAATAGGAGGTGTTTTCCTTTAACTCCTGCTTCTGGCCCTGGCTCTCTTTATAGCCCTGGGAAAACCACCTCCCTTTTGAGCTTTTTTTTCCTTGACTGTAAACCTCTATAAAACAGAGTAAGAATCTTGAGGAGGGGGAAAAAATTCCCTTTTAAGCCTATGCATACTCTCACTGAAGTCACTTCTTAGATACAAATGACTGGCCTTTGAACTTTGGGCTTTGGACCTGAATGTGCTTTTTTTTGCTGTAGTTATTACCATATCCATTACTAAGGACTTGCAGTATACATCTAGAAAAAAGTGATATCTACTTAGACATGAAGTAAACTTCATCACGTTCTTTAATGTAAGCAGTATTTTGATGACGTTGCTGTCTTTCTCATAGTGAGAGCAGGCATCCTTGTACCGTATGTTCCTTCTCATCACTTGCAGTGACTTAACAAGACAGGAGGTGTTGCTCACTGGGTTTCTGCCTAAGTGGGAATCCAGAGGGCTCTTGCTGTGCGGCGTAGAGTTACGCTCATGACGGGGTAGGGAGGATTAGGTGACAGGGGACCCAGCTGTCGTACTATGCAGGAATGTGGTGGCACTTCTCAGTAAGTGGGGCTTGACTTTTTCCTGAGAACTGTGAAGAACTGTTTGGAAGGCTAAGAGACGTTGTAAACATGTAATAGTAGGAAGCCAAGAAAATCTTGCTCTTTGCAGTTCTTTCCTTTCAGGATCAAGTGTCCTCTGTTTGGTGCATACACAAACAACGTAGGGCATCCTGATCTTTTGTAGATTTCCTTTGTCGCTTCTACTAAGAGACTGCTTTCATGAAAACATGAAATAATGCTCTAGAAATCTGAAGAGCCGCTGAAGCGAGTGACTCTTTGCAATTGTTTTTTAGACACACAGAGGCAGCTTTCTTGTGAGCAGAGGGATACTTCAGGCATCATCCTGCCTTTGCAGAGGAAAGTACAGTCATGCCAGGCATTTTAAGTCAAGCAGGGAGTCTGGCAAGATTTCTCTGTGCGTGGCTGGGAGTTTTAATTCCTGTCACTTCGGTGAGCTCTGGGATAACAGTAGAGAGGTGCTGTTGTGCAGGTTTTTCTAACTCCTTTTTGGCAGCTCCCGAGTGAAATGTTCCTCCCTTCCCAAGATCCCCCAGTATCGAGCAGATCAGTAGGATGCACAATCACGGTCCATTTACGTACCGCGTGTTTCGCGGAGTGCCAGCGGTCTCCCTGTAGCACCGTGAAAGTGGCCGGGTGTCGCTTTGTTTCCTTGCAGTGATCACAGGGCAGCAGCGCGGCGCCGTCATCTCGGCCCGGACACGCATCGATGTGCTTCTCGACAGCTTCCGTAAGAAGCAGCCCTTCACACACTTCCTGTCCTTGGCTCTCAACCAGCCCGTCATCCAGGAGAAGTTCCTGCAGTTCAAGGAGGAGGTGCTGGAGAAATGCTCACAGGTAAGAATCCACACGAGAGCTCCAGCTGGAGGAAACCCCTTCAGCAGTCTCTCGTTCGCTGAGAGAGGCTTTTGCCCTTTACCTCAGAGGCCTTATCCTTTGCTTCCTTTCCTAGCGGTGTATTTCTTACAGGCCTTTTGCTTAAGTTGGTGGCTCTGCTGTGAGTTTATTGGGAAACCTTTTGGAATGCAGAATGGCTTAGTTAATTTGCTGTAAAATACGTTGTTCTCCTTTGAGATTTTCCTAGGTGGGATGGTATTTTTAAGATTCAAACAAGGGTTGTTTCTTCTGGGTTTTTGATTTTCGATAGGAAAGGTTCTAAATAACGTAACAGACCTTTCTACATTTAATATGATTTCATGTAACTGTGAAACCAAGGAGCGATTCACAAGTTTGCTGCTGCTTCTATTTCACTTTTCTTTTGGTTACTGACAGTGGATGAGGATGGGTGTCAGGAAATGACTCGGTAGCACACGCCATCCTGCTAGTGTAATCACTTCCCTTTTTCCCCCGAGAGCCGGTGCTGACAGTCCCTCCTACTTGCCTTCAGATCTGAGAGCACCGAGAGCAGCAGGAAACAGCTAGGCATAGTGAAAATAGGATGGGATGAAGTGAAAGTAGAGCATTCCCTGTTGTATTTTAGTTTGCTGCTGCTTTGACAGAAATGGTATCTCAGTGCACAGGGCCAGCCTGCGAAGAGGGAATGATGTTATTAAATTGCTGTGTCCTCTGAGTCTGCTCGGAGGACATCTCTAGGCAAGAGGAGCGAGTTCCCCTTTGCAGCAGCTGAAGGTTATATTGTATGCATGCAGCAGGGTTTATGGGCTAGTATTTTTACCGTTACATCTGTTGCTCCTGCTTATGCCTTTCAAAGGGAAAAGCGTAACCTTCCTAATTGCACAGCTTGAGAAGTATTGTTTCCTGTGTGTTTATGCCTTGTGTGTGAATTACCTGATGTCTGGGAAGATTTTTCATGGTTGCTTGTACACCAATTGTCTCATCTCTAACAGCAGAACTGGGCTGGCTTTGCAGTCTTGTTTCTACAGGCAATTCTGATTTAAGTCCCTCTTCTCCACCCAGCTTCTTATTTCTCTGACATTTTTAAGAGGTTTCTATCACTCAGATTTTCACCTAATGTCAAGTACAACTGGTACTGGCCAATAGATACAGGATCTGGCAATGAGTGCAATGCCATGAGAACTCATTCCTCAGGCTAGGAGACTATCACTGCCTTGATTTTCAGTCCCACAATCTGGCATTAACTACTCCTATATTAACGCTTCTCTTTATTAAATAAAAGCCCTAAAGTTAGGGGAATGGAAACATCAGACTGAGGACAGAGCGAGCCAGCCTTGGAGCTGGTGTCAGTGGTCGCCTGGCTCCCCCTGTTGGTTGTTCCAGTGCTTGTGGGGGTCACTGAGTTATGGGGAGAGAGGCACCTTTTGGGGGAACTGTTAACTTCAGCATGGGCTCTGGCAGTGTCTGCTCATGCCTTTGGCCCTGGACTGAGACCACTGCATTCATCCCGGTGCTTCTCTTGTCCTTTATCCCCTTCCAAAGTGGCATATGGCTGCTACAGTCCTTTGCTTGAATCTCCCTTTACCCATCAGTCCTTTCAGATATATCTAGCCCTGCTCTGCTTGCCTTGGATCCTCCTGCTTATCTGATCTTCCACCTCTGGTTGTCTGCCAGCAGGCCTCGTATCTTCCTGCATAGAGCAGAACCTTGCTCAGTTCTGGCTTCCTGGCTGCTCAGTATAGTGCAGATCTTTTCACTGCAACATCTCTACGTTGCAGCTTCTTCTATTCATCTGCAGCTAATGCCATCATCCACACTGTCATCCCGTGTCTTTATTCCTGCCCTATGTGGGCCTCACCTGAGCTCGCTCCTCCCCTTGCTGAACAAGCATTTTTCTTGCCTGCTGCCTTGGTTGCATCTCTGCAGCCCACCATCAGCTCAGCCTCTGCTGGTGGTCTGCCTTGTTCTCCACGTGCCTCCTAATCTGCCCCTGTTGTATGATTTGTCTCCTGCTCGCTCTTAGCTGTCAGTTTGCATCATATCACTGCCTGCCATCCACTTGGAAACGTTTTCATAAATTTATCCTGGTGCTTTCCCCAGCATTGTCAGTCACATTCCTAAGGAGCTGTCTGGGAATATCTGCAAAACTTCCTGTGCCTGCTTGTCCTCCATGGCTGCAGAAGCTCAGGTTTGGTCACAGAAGTGCTGAGACCACTGCTTGAGACCAAGCTAACCTTGTCTTCTCTAACCTTCTGTTTCTTCTGCAGCCTCTTCATGCTGTGTCTGGACAGCACGGCATCAGCAAAGCCCTGCTCGGTGGTTAGGGAACCTACAGGCTGGAGCCACTGGCTGGAACTGTGCTCAGAACCAGCACTTAGACGTGACTCCTCCTCATTCCAGCAGCAGCACTCAAGACATCCTCTCTGCATTTTGCTGCTGTTGAGTCATCTGGGCACTGTTGGGAATCTCCCCAGGCAGTGGCAGCCGGGGCTGCCCTGCAGCATGGCTCTCCATGCAGTGTGGGTGCAGGGTGCCCCTGATCTGGGGGTGCAGGGTTGTATTGACTCTGTTCAGTGGCCCGTGTCTCTCAGGAGGCTTGAGAACTTTCATTTTTAGCTTGAAATATATAAGTCAGTCAGAGGCAGGTATTTGGAGATTTGCATATGGATAGCCAAGGAATACACAGTGCTTTATTTTTTCTATCCTTCCTTCTCCTGGTATTAGCAAAAAGGCTTCTAGATACATTGCTGCCTGTTAGTTCAGGAGTGTATTGCAGCCCTGTATGTCTCTCAATCACTCTGCAGCCAGTAATGCCACTCTAATACCACTTTATCTCACAGCGGGGTCTGCTGGAAAGCACATCAGTAATGAAAAACAGTAATTCAAAACTGTGCCTCACAGAGCAATAAGAGAGCTTACAGATTTGTCCAAAGCAACGGGATTTCTCAGGATGCTTAGAGACATCTGAATAGATTTCAGGGACACAAGTGTTGAGCTTCACTTCCTGTTGCAATTTGCTGGTGCAAAGCATTGCAGCATTAGGTAGACTCTAGTCTTTGCATGAACCTCACTAATAGTGGCAAGGAAGGGGGAAACTGGGGGGTGTGCGTGTGAGGGTTTTTTCTGGCCATTGAGCATTTGTGAGGGACTTTTCTCTCTGAAGCAGTTGCCATGGCAACCATTCATTTATATTTTACAGCATAGGGTATGTTGGTGGTGTTATGCTTTCTGACTCTGTTTTTTTGTCCTCGAAACTTTCTGTTAGACAAACGTTGTGTCACGATACAGAGCGCTTTGGGTGTCATTCATATGTGGCATTAGGGCAGCCAGCCAGCGAAGCAGAGCTGTTTTGAGGCTGATTTAGTACAGAGATAAGGAGGTGGCTCACCTGGCTTGGGTCCTTAGTGGTGTGGTGCAGCGGGAGCTCAGGCTGTCTGGGTGACCTTGGGAGTCTCCTAGCACAGCCATGCTGGTGTTGGAGTGAGGAGGACTGAAGCATTTGTTGCAGGTGGGTAAAGGAAAAGGTTTAGGTTCAGCAGTGAAATTGCCATGAAAAATCATGGTTGGGTTTTTGGAGCTGTGCAAACACAGCATTTGCATTGTTAAGAGGCTGCAGATGTAGCATAGAAGAGAAATATGATTGCTGTAATAATGCCAACCTGTAAATATCTAACGTTGTTAATGAGTTATTACATCTCACAGTGGAAGGGACAGAAAATGGGAGGGGTTTTTCAGCCTGCAGTTCTTCAGTCAGTTCAGGAAATGCTGTTTTTCTGGCTCGCTCCTTTGTTTGTGGGTTGGGGTGGGAGAGGGCACGTAGCTGGCATGCACTATCCTGCTATTAGGGAAAAAACAGAAAGCTGTCTGCAAATATTGGAAGCTCTTAAGACAGCAGAAAGGATGCAGCCAGGGAGGAAGAGCTAAGCAGTGTGATCCTTTGCCTTGTCACGCAGAAGGCTCTGCTTTGGTCTTTGGTTTCCCTGCTAAAGTGTCTTAGATTTATAGGAACAATGTGCTCAGACTTTGCAAAGAGGTGAAGGCTCCTAATAAAAGTCTTTCCTTGTTCCATCTAAAGTAGGAGAGCAAAGGTAGAGGGTCTAAGAGGGAGATCTAATTTAAAAAAAAAAAAAATAAAAAAATAAAAGAATTGTTAAAGGTACATGCATGGAAATGTGTTGTTTTTTGTGCCCACAACAAGTCAGTGTCTGAGAGAGCGGCACAAGCTCAAATGGGCAGTCACACACAGATGATCCATACAGGGAACGTTCTTCCTGCCTCTCAGTGCATCCTTAGGTGGTTTGAGTGGTGAATTTTTGAGAGAAGCAGGAGGGTCTGTTTTATATGTTTGTATCTTCTAGCAAATCCCTACAAACACGTGGCTTTCACGTTCCCCTGTTGAATACAGGGGATTCTCCTGCTTGTCCTCACCACTCTGGTGCTGTGCTTTCCATTCTGCTCCTTGCTGTGCATGTGATGCAAGGAACGCTCACCTGTCACGACCCAGGGGAGGAAACTGGTGCTGGAGGAGTTTGTCACCACAAGGCACTCGGGTCCGTGTCTTGGAATCACCGAATCACCGAGATTGGAAGAAACCTCTAAGATCATCCTGTCCAACTGGCCATATGTCCCACTGGACACAGCAGTTAAGCATAGCAGAAACGGGACTTGGATAAGTGGGTTCAAGCACTTTTGCATTTCACTGAACTGAGCCCAAGTCAGAAGGGCTGCTAAGACATCTGCAGAAATGTTGCTTGCTCCAGAGAGAGCTACTTCAGACACAGCATCCCGCTCACGCATAGGGGAGGTGGGATCTTCCGGCCTGTGAAAGAGCTGTAAGTGCTGTATGTGGGAATTTCAGGAGCTGTATGAAACACCAGGGGTAAACCAGGAGACTTGTCTGGGTCTTGACCTCTTCTCTCTGCCCTTGCTCTTCCCTGCTGGCTGTCCCAGCAGCGCAGTGTGCAGAGGTGCCATGCCAGCACTTTGTCAGCTGTCAGCCCCCACTCAGGCGCTGGGAAAAGGCTGCTTTTGGGGCAGGTCAGTCCCTGTCCCAGAAAACAAGGGTTGGGGTTTTGCTTTCTGTCCTGTGAACTGCTTTACTGTGCAGTCTTCATCACTTGTGTGCACTGTGTGAGTGACGTCAGATGCTTGTCTCTGGCAAGATGGACTCAAACTTTCTCCTGGTTGCTATTACCAAGCTGTTGTTTTGTGTTGGGCCAAATATCCCCCGGCTATGGGTACCTTTAAAAGAGAAAGACCGATGGAGAGGAATTGTGTCTGGTCCTGCACATTAACAGCAGTGTGAGTGAAAGGGAGCAAAAAGGCTTTAGCTGCCTTCCCTCTGGGAAGGAGCGAGATGGAGGCACCCACCTTTCCTGTCCTATGCTCAGGGCATGCCTAATGTAATTCATCTGTGCTCGCTGCAGGTTGCTGCATGGTGCTGAGGCTTGCAGCATCCTTTGCCACTAGCAGGGTTTGGGGTCTCAGCCAGCAATAAAGCAATTAGCAAGGCGAAGGCAGGTACGTGCTCTGTCAGCTGGGGACGCTGAGTTTTGCTCATCTAGCCCAGCCTGTAAGTGCTGCTGTCAGCAAGGATATGGGTGCTGCCACAGCATGAACAATGCCTGATGAGATGTGAGGCATTACACCAGCTGAGGGATGCAATGTTTAAATGTCAGAGAGGTTTTATTTCAAACTCTGAAGCTTGGTTAGAGACTTCAAGGCTGTCATTCGCAGTCATTGGGCTTTTATTTTCGGACATATAAATGCTTCAGCAGTGCTGGATTCTTCTGGAGCTTAAAGCGGAGGTTCGTCAGTGTGCTGATGGGAAGTGGCCACCAAGTGGAAATAATTGTTTTAATATGGGTGTGTTAACCATCCTCAAAGTATTTTTATGAATAGTCAAGAACAGAAAAGCGTGTTCCTTAAAGCTGAGCACTGCTCCACCTGGGAACAGTTCTTCCTCAGCAACAACACGTAGCTTTTCTTTTAAAGGGAATTTAAACTTAATTCATCTCAGCAAACTATAGGGCACCTGGGAATGAGAAAAATGTAATTACCAGAGCTGGTATGGGCTGTGCCTGTGTTGTGAGGTGCAGCCAGTGTTTAGACAGGATTTAGAGGCTATTTAGAGCTTGCCACTGCAGCTGGCTCCAGCTTTATGGCACAGAGAACACACTTCGCTCAAGTTCTAATTTTGCACTGACTTGCGCCGTGTCCATGGCTGTTGGCAGTCACTGCTCTGATGGCCGTGGAGGTCTGGAGCCTGCCCTAAAGAGCCCTGATCTGCCTTTGGACCTCACTGCAAAGGCAGGTGGTGTGCAGGCGTGTGGTGCTGGGCTCTGCCTCGCTCCCAAAGTCTGTGCAATTCCCTCTTGTTTCGACTTTAAGACTAGCAACTTGCCTAGCGATGCAGAGATGAGAGGTTTGATGCTGGTGGCTTGCTGCTTATTCCCTGCTATGTGGATCCCTCTGAGAGGTGCTGTGTACATGCTTGAGATGAGATGCTGTGTTTGACTGATTTGTAGGATCACGGGGTCAGCAGCAGCCTGTTCCAGAACCCTGCAAAGCTCCACCTGACGCTGGGGACGCTGGTGCTGCTGAACGAACAGGAGATCCAGAGAGCATGTGACCTCCTGCAGCAGTGCAAAGAGGACTTTGTAGAGTAAGTGTTGCAAAGGGATGTCAGCACCAAGGGCACGTGCAGGGGAAAAGAAGCAAGCTGTCTTTGATGAGGAATGATGAGGAGAGCAGCCTGACAGTGTATCTAAATTCCAGAAATTTAGGAGGCTGAATGTTTTGAGTAGGAGCAGCAGAAATCGCCAAGAAATCACAACCAGAGGGCACAGCAGTACTCTCAGCTCAGTCCCTGCAGACCTGCTCCAGACATTTCTCGCATCAGTCCCATTGTTTTTGTGGGAGCAATTCCTTGCTGTCCCCTGCCTGCTGCAGGGGGAGGGATGAGCTCCAGCACCTTCCCGTGTTGCCTACAGCGGGCTCCAGCACACCGCTCCTTCCTTCCTGCCTCAGAGCAAATGCTGAGGTGTCCTTGACATGCATTTCTGGGTGCAGGGAGCGTGTAGGGAAGGCAGTGTGAGCCATGTGAGTCATCACTCTGAACCATTCAGCACTGGTTCAGGAACTGGGCTTTCTCACCGCCTGTTAACACGGAACTGCAGATATTATGGCTCAAACTGTAAATGTGGTTGAATGACACTGTAATTAGCTTATCTCTGTACGGCTTAGAAATTGGAGATGGCCTGAGGGGCTGCTGTCCGTATTTATTTATTTAGTTTTGCAATACTTTCGCACGGAGGGCATGGATTCCTTATTTGTATTTCTTTATTTTCAACTTTGGTGCGTGAAGAATTAGCCACAGTGTGCTAGCTGACACCTGTGGGAATCAGTGCATGGCCAAAATTCTTACCTCCTCTAAAAGGAAGGCTCCCTTTTTTCAGCTGCTGACCAGAAATGCAGAAGTATTTTCAGGGGAAGGAGCTGCCCACAGCGGTTGAAGAGTGCCACCCTCCTCAGGAGTGGATTGAGCTGAAACAGAGAAAATCTTGACTCTCCACTGCCTTTGGAGGAGGAGTCAACACTTGACTGTGTTGACAGGTATTTCCCCTGCCATAGCCAAATAAATAGGCCTTTAAAATCAATTCAGGCTCCCTTCCACCCATATGAACCTTCATTAGCATTCATTTATTTTTACTAAATGCAAGCAATACTGTCTGAAAGTCAGTGTGCCCTCTTTTTACAATTTTTGGGTATGTGGCCTCAAGTGTTTGTAGTCTTACTTGTGCTGTTTTCCTCCCAGTAATCATACTGGGAGAGGGAATCGCACTCCCCTGTTCCACCTGGTAAGTCTTACTGGGAACCTCTTAGGCAGGCTGCACAAAAGCAAGCAAGGTTAGAGCAAAGTCACACTCCCACTTAACTTGTGGTCATTACTTCTGCCTGCCCTGCACTGCCCACAAGACCTCGGCGCTGATAGAGGCGGAGGCACTTGCTCCTGGGAGCTCTTGCTGCAGCACACACCTCCTGTGATGTGCTCCTGGAGAGCAAGGAGGTGGTGTGCTTGGGAGCAGATAGGCTTCACGGTGTGCTGCTGGGTGTGGGAGTGCATATTACATCCTCACGCGTTTTAGGTTTCGCGTTCCTGCCAGAGTAGCTGGTGACGGTTTTTAAAGCAGTTCTATGTACTCCCAGCATTTGTAAGTGGATGTTGAAATGTACTTAAAACTGCCTTCTGCATCAAGTGCTTTTGCCAGTGAAAATCGATGAACTGGAGGCTTTGTGTCACAGTCGCTCTCTTTGTGGGGAAGGCAGCAGCTTCTCTGGAATGAGGAGTTACACCATTTGACTGCTGACAGCTTTTGTAAAAAGTAAATAGAGATTTCTGCTTTGAGATGGCCTGTGAGTACTGACAAGTTGACTTAGTGTATGTCTGAAACAGTGAAGTATGAATTCAAATTTAAATGTTTTTGTGGCATTTTTTGAGATGATGAGACAATAGCAACTGTAGCTTTTTGAGCTTTAGAAATTAGGCAGGAGGAATGCTACATGCTGCATTTCTAAAGCAAGTGTGACGTTTTGCTTTTTCTTCCATTTTAGCCAAATTACGGGAGGCAAGCCTCTGAGCGTGGAGGTGACTGGGGTGGAGTACATGAACGACGACCCTGCCATGATGGATGTCCTTTATGCCAAAGTTCACATGAAGGATGGCTCAGACAAGTGAGTTCCTTCTCCTTCAGCCCCCAGAATGCAGGCAGTGCTGAGCAGCAGCAGGAGAAACCTCTGCTGTCCAAAGTCTGCAGGTGCTGCTCGCGGTCCATGGGCTGGCAGTCGGGAAGTTTAAGTCATTCTTGCTTCCTAAACCAGTTAAGGCAGTGATGTGTTTGGTCTTTGAATCAGTCTGTGGTGCTGTTTTGAAGGATGTCATTTGTTTCTGTAACAGTCTATTGGAGTGAGTAATGGTGCTGTGGCTCAGGCAGTGATGAGATAGGCAAGGAGGTGCTCCCCAGGTGACTTAAAACAAGGACAACTTGGCCTCTGCTGCCTGGTTTCCAATGGATGGACCAGGTGAATCTAGATTTTATTCTGCAACATTTCATTATTCTTAAAAGCCAGTTACACAAAAAAGTCCTTAGAAAAATGCAGCTTGGTCACAGAGTTGTTTTTTGTGTCCCTGAGTAGCCTGAAACACGCGCTGGGTGTGAAACACCTGTCTTCTGACCTCTGGTGTGAAGTGTCAAAGCCAGGTTGGTGCGTTTGTGCTGTTCAATGCTCTGATGTGGCTTCAGCTGAAGGCTCTGCCACAGTGCTGTCCAGGATGCAGTGGTGGCTGGACAGCTTTCCTCCATCTCATTTTTGACAAGTGCGTCACCAACAGCAGCGTAATCTCTAAGTGCTTTCTCAAAGACTGGGGAAATGCAAGAGCTACCATCTTCCTGAACTGCTCATGTGAGATGGCTGGGAAGGAGGCAGAGGAGCAGCCAGGAGAACTTTAGCCTTCTCTTCTTGAGTGTTGGCTTTCTCTTCTTTAGCTTGATCTTTTTCCAGCGGTGCTGCCCCTGCTGTCTGATCCCCTTGCTGGAGGACAGCAGGAGCTTGCAGGGGGTGAACAGCACAGCTGGAGGAGGAAGGTGCCAGCAGGAACCTGTTCAAGGAGGGAGGGATGTGTTCTAGCATCTTCTTTCCCCTAGGGCCCCATGCTTAATGCCCCAGGGAAAAACACTTTGTTTGCTCTGTTGAAGTAAGAGATCGGATGTGAGATAAGAAAATGGTTGGGGGAAATGGAAGTGTAACAATTGCTGAGATTGGGTAAGAACCCAAATCTTCTTTTCCCATTCTCTAGTCTTGCACTTTGAAGTCTGTCCTACCCTGACAGAGGTGAGATAAAGCAGAGGGGGACGGTGGAGAACCGGGGCAGTCTGTATCAGCCAGGGGGAGGAAATGAGGGAGCACTCAGAAATATGAGGTAAATGCTGGATGACCGAAGTGCCCTTCATTCAGTGCTGTAGAAATCATTATGTATCAGCTCACTGAGCTGTAGACCCCTTTTCTTCTGAGTCTCCAGATCACCTCTTATGTGTGGCGCTCACAAGTCTGCTTGCGCTTCTGTGCGTGTCTGTGACCAGACAGGTGGGAGCGTAATATGGTGCAGGAGTGTCTGCCCATGGCTGGGCACTGCTTGGATGGCTGGGGACTGATCCTGCAGCTTGCCTCGGGTGCCAGTGCTGCCTGTTCTGCTGAGGAGCCTTTTAATCGTTGTGCTGGAACAATATGTGGATGGGCTGGCAGAGCTGCTTGGGCTGGGGAGAGAAATGAGACCTTCCAATCTGCCTGCCATTGCAAACAGAGATGTTTCCTGAGAAAGGGGCTTGCTGCTGAGGTAGTGCCTCCCTCTATCCTTCACGAAAGTCCCTAGCTGAGGCTTGGGCCTAACCCAAACCTTGTGCTTTGCACGTCAACTGGAGGCTGCCAAGCTTCTGTTTTGCAACGCTGCTGCTTTTGCTTGGAAATAGGCTCAGAGAGGGCTGTGTGATTGTAATGTTTTTTCCTCATCCAGGCAGGTCCTGCCCTCACCTGTGAATTGATGCATCTCTCCCAGCAGAATGAATTGGCACTTGTCTCTCTTGCCTGCTTAAACCTGCTGCTTTTTGCTCAGAGACATGAGCAAAGCAGGCTGGGAGCAGTTTTTCAGCTGTAAGGCCAATGCTGGAGGATCACAGCAGCCGTGTGCTGTGCCATGCTGCGCTGTGCTGTGCTGTGCTGGCTCAGACTGCTGCAGCCCATGTAAGAGGTGTGTGCTTTCCTGCCTCCTGTGAGATGTTCTGCTGGCTGTGTGTGGCTCCTGGAGTGGCTGGAGGTGAAGTTCCTTCCTGATCTTTGGATGATCTTGATCAGCTTAAGCCATAAAGCAGGAGATTTGATTTACCCGACTTAGCTTGCATAACTGCAGACAGCATTAGGGGATGGCAAGCCCTTCTGCACACAGAATGGCTCAGAATGAGAGAGAGATCATGCTCTGATGCCTCCCGCACGGCAAATAATTTCCATTATAATTCATTCTAATTTGTTTTATTTCCTTGATTAACTTTATAATGCAATAAAGCCCCATTTTCACTCAAGCTATTCTCTTTTAATTTGTTTTAGTATTGTCCGTAATGATATTCATTTAATCTTTGTCATTGCTAATTTTAAAAATCACTGGTGTAAAGCCAGAAAATAGCAGAAAACCATGACAGTCGGAAGTTGCAGAGTCTAGAAATCGCCGCGTGGCTGCCGGCAGCCCACCGGTGGCAAGGCGCAAGCAGGCGGTGTGGGAGCTGGCAGCTGGAGCGTGGCCACCCCAAGCCCTGGGGCCAGCCAAGCCTTTCTCAGCTCCAGCCTGCTGCTATGGGCCCTGTGGCTGCTGTGGGCCCTGCGCTGAGTGGGTCCCGTGGGTTCCAAGAACCTGAACGCCCCGGGGAACGCAGGTTTGGGCGTTGGCAGCAAACTCTTTGCTATGCTAAATCTACCCCGCTTTGTGGATTGTGTGCAGCAGAAGCCGTGTGAGTGGAGGAAGGACAGAGGAAGCCTTGTAAAACAGCCAGAACTTTTTGCAGGATAACTGAATTCTGATGGCTCTGTTTGCTTCCCCTGCTCTCTTTTCCTGAGTGAATGCGGAGAACTCATTTCACACGTGCTGTCCTTCCTGGCAGAAGAGCGAAGCACTGACAGTGCAGCAATTTCTTGTCGGCTTACTTTGCTCCGTTCTTTCTCCTTTTGCCTTCCCAGGCTGCAGATGATAGCTGATCAGCTGGTGGAGAGGTTCGTCGCCTCAGGTTTGATGCTTAGGGAATGGGATAGGGTGAAACTGCACGCTACTGTCATGAACACGCTATTCAGGAAAGACCCAAGCGGTGGTGAGTATTCTTGTTATTTGCTGGTAAATGCATTGAATCACTAGAGTTGGAAGGGTCCCTGAAAGACTGTCTGGCCCAACTGTTCTGCAGTGAACAGGACCACCCACAGTTCCATCAAGAGCTCTGAGCCCTGTTCCAGCCTGATCTTGGGTGTCTGTAGGGACGCAACCTCTCTGGGCAGCCTGTGCCGGTGCCTCACCACCCTTATTGTAAAACACTTTTTCTTTATATCCGGTCTAAATCTCCCCTCTTTCAGTTAGAATCCATTTCCTCATGTCCATGTAACACAATACCACTGAACAGGAGGTATTTTGGTCAGTAACTGTTGACTTTCACACTTTTTGTGTTGGGTTGCTTTTTTTTTTTTTTAAATTATTTTTGTGCTTATTTTAATCTTATAAGTGCCTTGAAGATTGTATGGGGGATGTTGCTAAATAAAACCCAAGAAAAACTGAAAAAGCAGCCAGCAGAGCTGGAGGAGGCAGACGTGCTTTGAGTACTTTCTGGGTCCTTTCTAAGGTTCTTCTCACAATTTCAGACCCACTCTTGGCCAGCAGCACTCACAGGAATCTTGCCCTTTGGAGGGGGGGCCCGCTGGCAGTAGCATCCAGTCTGTGTGCTGAACTGCTCTATCAGGCATGTGAGGCATTCGGAGACAATGAGGAGAGCTTTACCCAGGCAGCCATAGAAATCACTTTATGTTCGATACGGGATCTGATTAGCATTGTTGGTTGTGAGTGGGAACTCATAGTCAATGCTGGAGATGTAGAAGAAATATTGAATGTATTCAGTGAGTGTGGCAAAGGTCCCTTAGAAAGAGCAGATTATGTACTTAGGGATTATATAAAACTTCAGACATCCTCTGGGGAGATGCATCTGAGATGGAGACATTTGGCACTCACTGAAGGCCTGGATCGCTGTTCTCCATGTCTCTGTGGGTGGCTGCTTCCTTGCCTCACATACACACATGTAGATGGTATGCAGGGATGCTCCCCACAGCAGGTGCCCTCCAGAATCACCTCAACACCAGCTGTGTGCAGGGTCTTTCCGCCAGGTGTTGCAGGTAATCCTGGTGGAAGCACTGATCCCTGCACAGTCAGCACGGATATCTTTAAGATCAAAGTGGCAGTGTTTTTGCATGAAGAGCTGTGTGAGGATGGTTTATCAGCTGGCAGCTGACTTTGGGGAGGGGGGGATTGGGGGGTGAACACAGTTCTCCTATCTGAAGCTCGTTCTGGTGGTGGCTTTTCTCTTTCCAGCTGAAGAGCGAAGCAACACAGTGACTGGTAAATCATCCTTCAAGGAGAGGGAGTCATTTAATGGGCGAAACATCCTCAAGGTCAGTATGAAATAATTAGAGAAATGGAGCCAGCTGCTGATATTAGATATCCAGAAGAGGTTGAAGCACCTCTTTAAAACTGTCTTTGGCTTTGGCGTATGGGATTTCCCAGAGCAGGGGGCATCTGTTGATGAAATAAACAATCTAGATCACTCCTAGTTGGGAGCAGTACAGTATTTAACAGAAGTGTTCTCAAAGCTGGTGAGCTCAGATCAGGAATACGTCACACGAATGCTAAGTGGGTGTTGGTGTTGTCGTTCACTTTGCTCATATCTTACCCTAGAGACTTAGGCTCCTGTTGGTTTGCAGCCCACCAGAAAGGCAGACTTTGTTGCTCTTGCTTCACTCACTCATGCTTGTTTTTATGCCGCTAAAACTGCCACTTCACATGCTCTTTTTGTTTGTTAAATCTCTGCTATTAGTTTGCATGGTTCTGCTCCAGAAAACCAGTGTTTAGTGGGGGTCAGAGTCAGATTTAGTGTTGATGGGAGGGCAGGAAGCGAGATTCCCCAGGCTGCAGAGGTGGCACCGCTGGGCTGATGTGCGCTGCTCACACACCGTGAGTGTCCAGGGAGAAAAGACAAGCCTGGAGAAGGGAATCAGTGCTGGGTTATAAGCCAATTTAAATCCTCATTGTGTGAGCTGATTTGTTATGATAAGAGGGAGGCAGGAGAGCGCATGAATACGTGCATTCACATCGTGAAATGATAGATGTTCTGGTCACAAATTGGCAGCAGAGAGACGTGAGCAAGGATGCAGATCGGATGCGAAATGGACAGCTCGAAAGGACTGTGGGCATCAGGGGACAGAAGAGGTCTGTTTTGTGTTTGCATTTCTGCTGTGCAATGCATTAGGTACTGGCTGCATGGGATGTGAAGACAGAGAGCAGAGCTGATTGATCTGCTCTGCGCAGAGGACAAACAAAGGGACAAAATTAGGTTAAGCTCTCGCCGGCTGTGCGAGCACGGTGTCATGACTCAGCACTGCCACGTGTGGAGCGCTTGCTGTGAGACCTCAGGGCTGCGTGGCGGAACGGGCCACTGATGGATGTGGCCCCTTTTTCAGCTCCCCAGCACCTGAGCTGGCTCTGGAGAAGGCAGGTAGCAGCCCCAAGTGCCTGGAGGGACTCCGTTTAGGGAGCGTCTGCTTTTCGCTTTGCCCATCAGTCCTTTTTGCATTTGCTGATCATGTCCTTACACTTCAGAGAGACGTAAAATTCAGCTGCCCTTCTTCGTTAATGTTCCTCATCCAAAAACATGCATAGTTTGAAAGGCATTACGCTGCTCACTTGATTTTTGCAACACTTGTGGGTTGCACTGTGGGGCCGTGGGTCTCGTGGTGCACAGCTCTTAGAAATGCCCCGGCCCTGCCTCAAATGCCATTTTTATTTGGCTGCTCTCTGAAATCAGAGCTGAGGCACTTTTAAAACCCCTAATTGATTCTGTACGGATGTAGCCCATAGAGCTGCTGGCTGTTTGGACTGTTGATGATTACTTCAAAGCGTGCCTTCCTGCAAGAAATGTCATCCTTCTCCCCCACCTCCACTACATTTCCTAACCTACTCGCTTCATATTTCCCTTTGGTCTCCCACGTGCCTGCAGCAGAGCACCCGTTGGCATTAATTAATTACATGAGTCATAAATAGCTGCAGGCTTCTTACCCGAGGAGCCCGGCCCCAGCCGGCCGCCAGTGTGCTCCAGCATGACCTTGCAGAACTGCACCACGTCCTCTTTTATATACATTATTTATCTGCTGCTCAGCGAGGTTGCCCTCTCGCGAAGCGGCTGTTAGCTCCTGCAGCAGGATCTAAACGAAGGGCATCGGTGAGCGCCGTGTCAAGTCGTCATGCTGGGCCGCCTCCTTGCTCAGCTGTGGCTGTGGCACTGCCAGGCACGGGCTTGGCTTAGCAGAGGGCGGGACCTGCAGGTAATGGTGCACAACGAGGTGAGGATGGCCCAGTTCTGCCACTCTCCGGGGCTGCAGCTGATGTCTGCATGCAGATGGCAGCAGTGTTTGCCGATAGGCTGCCTGCGCTACCCCGGGCTCCAGCTGGTATTTTGCTTTTGGCAGAACTCATCAGAATTTTATTGAATAATCCTTTGTTCTCCCCATTCCACAGAGTTAAACACACACTCCTGTTTGTGCTAATAAATCGTTGTGCAGGCCGGTGCCTTCCCACACTGCTCAGAAAATAGATCCTGTAGGATGAGTTACATTGAGGAGTTTAAATTCCCTCTGTCTTGAAGAATATTTGTGCAAAAGGTTCCTTGATTTGCTTGGTGCAGAAAGCCCAGGGGAAGCGTGTGAGTGATTTGTGCCTCCCATGAAGGTGCGAGACGCTTTGGCTTTGTTCTTGTCTAGCTGAGTCCCAAGGAACAGGGCTGCTTTATGAAGCACTTCATACAGAGCAGTACGTATTGCTTCCAGGGAGGTGGTGTGCCAGCTCCTCACACGTCCAAGTCACAGACCGCAATCCTGCTCCAGCATCTCCCACGTGAGTAAGGTCAGGCTGGGCACAGCGGGGAGATGCCAGCTTGGCAGCCCCTTTGTGCTGCCTCCTCCTCTTCCCCCCTGCCCTGCAGGGTGGCTGTGTGCCCGGCGTCGCAGCTGGCGCAGTGCTGGCACTGAGGCAGCCGGGGCAGCTGCGTGCATCTCCGGAGCCAGGGCTTGGCTGCCTTCAGGCTTTTATTTATTATTTACTTGGTCATTTATTTATTTTCCCCTGTGAAAATGCTAAGGCTGTGGTGAATAAATAGAAATGCAAAGGAACGTGAAGATACAGCCACAATGTTCCAGGATCCTTCAAAAAGGCTTGCGGTGGGAAGAGTGCCATCTGAGCTCACACAGTGTTAGAACTGAAGGATTGTATCTTGAGGTTTGGGATATAAAAGGGTGGCCTGTGCTGTGTGTGGACAAAAGGTGAGCACGTTTTGAGCAAGGAAAGGAGTGAACCCTGCCTTAATGGCTTACGAGATTACAGACTGAGAGAGCAGCTCTGCAGGTGCTGTGGAGCAAAGCTTCGGCAGGCACTGAGCTGATGTGCCAGGCCTGGAGCTGGGTCCATCAGTATAGAGGCACGTGCTGCTGGGACAGACAAGGCGTGACCCAACCTGGCTCCAGAATTTAAGGGCATTAAATTATGGGGCCGTGTCCTCTGTCACTTGGTGTTTTTATTCAGTGACAGACCGGTGCTGGTGGGTTGCACGCAGACCTGGTGGTGTCCTCTGTTGCTACTTCTGTCTTGCTGGACAGGAGTAGTGCAGCAGCTGTGGTATTGCAGCAGTTCAGTTTAAGACGTTTGATGCAGCACCACATGAAAGCAAAATCATGGCCTTGAAGTCCTCCCTGTACCCTGAAAATACCCTAAGCCCAGCAAGCTGTTAAGCAGAGAACATCTGCCTCTGCACAGTCACTGCTGCCAGTTCTCCTGTGGACTGACGAGTGCTGCATATGTTCTGCAGCCTCTGGCACCTAGACTGCATCTCTGCAGCTTTCCTTGGGGAGTTAGAGGGATGGACTCTTTCCCATTGTAGTTTTTAAATCGGAAGACCCACGTTAGGCGTGATCAAGTCTTCCTAGGGTGCAGAAAAAATGATCTGGTGGTCCTCCGTGGTGAGATGAGAGTATGTACCCAGCACAGCTCTGAGAACTGGAGCAAGTGTGTGCTCTGCAGAGGGGAGATCTCTGCCTTCAGTTCTGATTGTGCTGCTATCGAGGGAGAGACGGGCAGCCAATGTATGCATGATTCTGGGAGGAAAAGGAGATGTAGTTGGGTCACTGTGAAAACGTCTTTCTACGTGTGGGCTGTGTTTAGTGCCAGAAAAGAAAGAGCACATTGATGAGTGAAAGTGGGGAGCTCATCACAGAGGCACCCTGGCCCTTCTGCTGGCTAATCTCCCGGTCTGCCTGATTTAATGGGCTTGCTCTGTGTCCAGGCTCCTCCTCTCAGTGACTGTGAACAGATCTGGGAGGTCACATTGACAGGTCCTTGTCCCGGTGTTCCCAGGTGTTTTGCAAGCCTCTTGGCATCACTGCAGCAAAGCCAAAGCCCAGGTCCTACAGCACCTGCAGCAGCTGTTTTTAATGGGGAGTGCTGGGTGCCATGGGGGTGAGGCTGCTTTGGAGAGATGCAGGGGTTGATCGTTAATTCCTTAAACCAGTTGTACCGTGAATCCCTCACATTGGAAGTTAGCAGAGCCTTTAATTTGCTGGGGTGTTTTATTCTTGTCAGAAAGATGTGTGAGGATGCAGTAACCTCCAAATGTCCCACTTGTGTTTGTTTCTTAGTTTGCAGAATGCCTTTCACCATAGCAACTAGGGCTTGCTTTCCTCAAATGCATGAATTTTCATGGTTTTGCAGCAAGGAGGGGAAACGACCCAAAACCCTGTGCTAAAGCAAAAGCTTTGCAGTGTGACAGAAGCATCTCTGGGTTCTGCTCATGCAGGACAAACCAGGCAGTCTCTGCTGAACAAAGACTGGATGTGGCCCCAGATAGCTCTACTGGGAAGAAGGCAAGTGTGCATGTACCCTCCTTCCCTGTTTCCTGTGCAGACAGAACCAGCAATGAGCTCCTCCTGCCTCAGGGATGTAGAGGACAGTGAGGCCATGACCTCCCTTGGCCCTTTCTGAGCTTGTTGCTTTATGATCACCATGTAAGATAGATGCAAAACACCCATAAAATGGCATTTGCTTATGTACCAAAAGCTCCATGGCATTTAGGTGGCATTTATTCTGGCTCAGCAAAATAAAAATATAAGAAATCGCCTGTCATGCATGTCAAGAACGCCCTGCATTTTGTGCATCGCTCGCTCTGACATGAGTGGTACTTTTCCAGGTAGAACTGGTTTATGTGTGACTGCTGTCCAAGGGGCAGAATGGGTGATTTAAGCAGGAGGGCTTCTCCTTTGTCACCACTGACTCGTGTCTTGCACAGGACTCGCGCTAACCCTGGGTGCCAATCACTTGTCTGCAATTTCAGGTCTTGTGTTGCTTTGCTGCAGAGCAAGAGAATATAAATGACTGGACGAGACAGGCTGAATGCTAATGGTAAGGGAGTTAGTGCTCTGCTTCCAGCACAGGCCTGCTGCGCTCCCCCAAGACAGGCTGCCAGGTCTTCTGTGAGTGGCTTGCCTCCCTCCTGAAGTCTGGATGCTTTCTTTTTTGTAAGGGAAGAGAGGCTTTGGATGCCCAAACAGTGTAAAGAGCTGCAGGAAGGGAGCCCTGACCAGTGTCAGCAGGAGGTGGGCGCTTCGTGGACACACTGCTATGGATGGGCGCTGCCTACCTGCTTCTGGTGTTTGTCTTGTGTTGCTGCTGGTGAGCCTCCAAGTGCAATTAAACCCCTGGCAGATAGTCATTGGCATAGTGGTGTCCGCAGTGAATAACACAGGAATCAGATGTTTCTTTCTTGGCACCAAAGTGTCTCAGAAAACATATTTTGAAAGTGAAAATAGAAGAGGAAAAAATCCATTAATTGAACAAGCTTCCCAGATCTTGACAGCTTGCCCAGTTAGGTTTCATCCTCTGTGAGCCCGCAGAGGATTTGGTTCAGGTTTGTCTGGGGGACTTGGAGCGCCTCTGCTGGAAGGGTTTGCTCCATTTCTTGGGGTGAAGAGGGAGGAGCTCCAGGGCAGCTTCTGGAGATGGAGGCTGTTAGGTTGGCCGGCAGAGCTCTTAGCAGAAGTGCACGAAACCAGACATGCTGACCCTGCAGGTCCCTGATCTACCAGCAGTTTCCCAGCACTGGGTTGTGTCTGTGAGCAGGAAGCAGCTGTGACTGAGGAGGGGCTCCGGCAGGCAGAGGGTTTGCTGGAGTGGATGACTTCACCTGGTCTTTCACATTTCTAACCCAGCCAAGGAGAGCAGGGCACCTGACTCTTCCTGCCAGCGGGCCTCAGGCAGACAACAGTGCACACATCGCTCGCCTGCCGGGCTGATTCACTGCGGGCAGTTTTGTACTGCTGAGCCATTGTGCCCCTGCCCTGGGGCACTGCTTCCCAGCCTGGAGCTCCAGCAAAGCCAACTTCTCCCCACAGAGCAGGTGTGTGTGTGCACCTCTGCATCTTCTTCTGTGCTAATGCTGCTCTTTGCTGGGAGTTTTTAATTGTAAGGCGTTGGCATTGTGGTGAATTTTCACTCCCTCGGTGTTTCTGAGCTCTCAGCAGGGCAGCACGGGCTCGTTATCAATTCTGGATGGGTCATTTTTGGCTGGCTGCTGGAGACAACGTAAAGCTTTACAGCAATCAATAACCCTGACGGCAGCGCAGAACCCAGGCCAGGCAGCGCGAGCACAAGCCAGGGATTACATGGAGGAAGTTTCAAGTACCTTGGCCTTCCTCCCATCACCTGGGTTCCTTCTGTCCTCCCGCTGCCGTTAATGCTTCTCACTCTTGTTGAACCCATGACAGGTGACGTGAAGGCACGAGCTCACATTGGCAGCTCTGCTCTCTGGCAGCGGAGCCGAAGCGTGCCGCAGCCGTCCCAGCGCGGGGCAGCGCCATGATTTATTGCTGCTGTTTCTGAGTTTGCACACAAAGGTGCCGCTGCGCTCCAGGAGAGCTGCTTGACAAATGCCCAAATGCATACTTCTTCCAGGAATCCTTTGCATTTATTTCCCCAGTGTTTTGGTCGTATCTGCTTCACAAGCTGAGGCAAAGGGGGAAAACGTGCAGAAATAGCCCTCCTGTTAATGTGCCACTCTGACTCTGCTGGATTGCTGTGGTTGGGGACTGATGTTTGGAGGAGCGTGTTTGCCTGTTGTTCACTGTTTGATGTACAAGTATTTTCCTGCTGTGCAGGCTCAGCACATTTCCAGTGGCTTCGCGCTGAGGTGCAGGACTCGAGGTTAAATGTTAGCAGTGTGCTCTCCTTGTTGAGGTCTAATTTGATTTGGGAAGGCAGAGGGTACTTAGTTGAGTGATGCTATTCCCTCAAGGGGCATTAGGAGGTGGCACGGTGTGTGCGGGGTCAGCTCTGCAAATTGAGCTTTTCCTCCATCGGGCTTGTTTTCATTTATAGTATTAAGAAATCCCCCATCCACCCCCTTATTTATTCCTCAGGCAGTGAGGATGTAAATCCGTTGGCGTGTTTGGATTTAGGGCATTGCCTTGTTGCTGCTGAGCCTGGCTTCCTGCTCCAGCCAGATGCCACGGCTTGTGGCAGCCCTGCGAGTGACCTGCATCTGCTCCCTACGAATCCACACCTCCTCCCCTCTGTGGCCCTCTGGGAAGGAGAACTGCACCAACCTCCAGGGTTCTCCTTTTCCAGAAGAAAAGGAAAAACACAAAGTGCTCTTCCATTTCATTGGCCTCCCCACAAGCAGAGCATTTCTGTGGTGGGAGATATAAATATCTTTCTCAGCTCTTGCTTGGCTTCTCCCCAGGATAAATAGATGTGGAGGCTGAGCCCTCTGAAGCCTCTCCCAAGCCCCCAGGATGACTGTGGGATGTTTGCTTGTCGCAGAGGCGCAGAGCCCTTGGAGGAGGGCTCTTTCTCAATTGCCCGTGGTGGCTCTGGGCTGTGTGGTGCCGTGACTCTGATACTTGTGCATGGTATCCAGTTGCCTACAAGCGCAGAGGAGCATCAGTAGGAGCTGGCTTGAAAGGAGAGCAGGAAAAAAGTAGGGCTGTGGCTGTCCTTTAAATCTTGTAGTGCATTTGCTCTCAGAAAGTACAGCTGCATTACCAAAAATCAATAGTCCTAGCAGTGTTCTCCATGGGAAACACACGCACTCAGACTCGCAGGAGGTAGTAGTGCTTAAAAAAGGCCGTGGGAATACCAAGTGCTTCAGTACAAAGGCCTTGCTTCACTTCTAGCAGCGTGCAGATGGAGCAGCCTTGCCCCAGCTGCTGCCTTCTGGGGCTCTCCCATGGCCTCCCCCATCCAGTGGGGGCTGCCTTGCTGGCTGCTTGAGGGGCACCTTCCCATTCCGCTCTGCCCAAACAAGAAGAAAAGGAGACCATCCACTTCCCCAACATCTTATGAGGCATTTAAGACCTACCCAGCCTTTTGGAAACATAATTAATCTTTAATTGTATTCATCTTTAATTGCATCAAATGGAGTTTGTGTGTTGGCAGTCATTCGTCTTCCCCTTCTCTGCCCCTCTAGGAGAAGCCCCCCTGGGACAACCTTGTTCCAGCAGGGCTCTGGGGAAGTGATGGGCAATGGAGAGGTGTGGGGTGCTTCTTCCAGGCCAGCTGTTGGTTTTGACCATGAGGTGCAGGGAGGCGATGATGGAGGAAATGGCTCTGCGGAGCAGTGCTTTTAATTCATGAGTGCGTTTTCTGCGTCCTCCTGGAATGGAGCAGGAGCAGCACATTGCTCTCAGAGGCACTGCGTTCCCAGCAGTGTCACCGAGCTTCCCTGTGAGAACCTGATGTCATCTTTTGGCTGGCTTCATGGATGGGATGAATGGGCTGAGGCCTGCCTCTGGCCCCAGCACGGCTCACATGCATGAGCCCGCTGCCAGTCCCTTGCCAAATGAAGGAAGGATTGTTGAGCAGAGTGGGGTCAGTGCTGGGATGGTGCCTGCTGACCCCGGTTCAGACCAAGCCTTATTAACCATAAGCCCTGCGGCCTGGGCCAGAAGCAAACACCCTCTCCTGAGAGTGCATGCCATAGCTGTGCTGGGATGGGGAAACAGGCTTGGCAAGCGGCACGCGGCCCTGCAACAGGAGCAGCTGCAGGCTGAGCTGCTGTTGTCGTTCCTGAATGGCTTTTTCTCCTCTCATGCAGCTCTTTGAGAACTTCTCCTTTGGCGAGGCGCAGCTGGACGCGGTGCTGCTCTCCCAGCGCTACTCCTCGGATGCCTCTGGGTACTATGGCACAGCAGGGCGGCTGCTACTGCACTGACCAGGGGACGGTTGCTGCACAAGTGATGGAGAGTAGTGGCTGCGCGTGGCTCAGGGGCAGCTTATGCCTTGTAGCATGGCTGTACTGCAGGGGGGAGCCTGGGGCTTGTGGGGGGGTGTGCGATTCCTCTGCCCTATTCGGCCACAGTGAGAGCTCAGCTCCAGCAGTGTGCCTGCCTGGTGTCGGCCTACAAATAAAGGAGTTTTGTTTACGGGCAAGCATTTGTCTCTTGTTTCACTGATGGCTCCTGTGCTTAAGCTCACGGCATAGGCAGGGCTGTCCCCCCAGGCAGCTCCACTGCCCATCCGTGGCACTGTGCACCTCCAGGGATGGGACACCCACAGCTCTGGGCAGCAGTGCCAGTACCTCGCCGCCCTCTGTGTGAAGAATTTCCTCCTGTCACCTAAGCTAAATCTCCGATCTTTCAGTTTACAGCCGTTCCCCCTCGTGCTGTCGCTCTGCCCACGCACAGCGTCGGTTCCCCCTCCCGCTTACAAGCTCCCTGCACGCGTCCTTATTGCTACCGCAAACGAAAGCGTGCCTTTCCCGCAGAGCCGGCGCGCGGTACGGGGCACGGCGGGGCCGCCGGGAGCGGAGCTGGGGCCGGCCCGAGGGGCGGTGGGGCTGCGGTAGGGGA